AGGAGATAGGAGACAGAAGACAGGAGACAGGAGATAGGAGATAGGAGACAGGAGACAGGAGACAGGAGACAGGAGATAGGAGATAGGAGACAGGAGATAGGAGACGGGAGACAGGAGATAGGAGATAAGAGATAGGAGATAGGAAACGGGAGATAGGAGACAGGAGATAGGAGATAGGAGATAAGAGATAGGAGACAGGAGGTAGGAGATAGGAGACAGGAGGTAGGAGACAGGAGATAGGAGACGGGAGGTAGGAGATAGGAGATAGGAGACGGGAGGTAGGAGATAGGAGACAGGAGATAGGAGATAGGAGGTAGGAGAGCAGTTTGGAGGGAAAAAAACTTAAAATCTAAGTACAGTAGTAAAAATACCAACAGTGTGTGGAGTCATTTACATTTTTCCATCAGTGGGAGCATTTTATTGCTGATTACAGCTTTGTTCAGTTTTTCTGAAATCAGTTATCAAGAAGATTAACTTTACTTTCCTCTTTACATTATGACTGTGCTGGAGGTGGAGGTGTCTCTCCTTCTATCAGGAGCAGGACTTTGTGTTGCAGCCAGAAATGAGTCCAAATGTGACAGAAATGCTCAGAAGCTGCTCCGGGTTCAGAGGGTGAAATGGATAGACAGGTGAATGAATGAATGAATGAATGAATGAATGAATGAATAAATATTCCCATGAGATAAACATGGCTGTAACTACAGAACTACCTCACATAGTTAGTGGTGTTTTGGTGCTGCTCAAATAAAAGAAGAAAGAGAAACTCTTGCTTGAACATGTGTTCTCCCAGAACCTCTGTGGTTTCCGTGGTTTCTGTGGTTTCCGTGGTTTTTGTGGTTTCTGTGGTTTCTGTGGTTGTGATGTTGGTCACTTACATTTCCTCTCCTTCCAGCAGCCTCCTGTAGGTGGCGATCTCCATCTCCAGGTTCTGCTTGATGCGCAGCAGCTGCTCGTAGTCGGTCTTGTTGCGCTGCATGTCCAAACGCAGCTGAGACAGCTCGTCCTCCAGCTGCGTCAGCGTGGCCTGGAGGCGGTCCATCTCCACAGAGTACTTGTGACCCGTTTCTCCCAGGTTCCCCTCCAGCACGGCCACCTGTCAGCACCACATGAAGCCATGAGGCAATGGCAGCAGGTAGCTGGTGTCCTCTACATTACAACACCACGTGCAGGACCAGGCAGGTTCACGCTCAGATGTCAGGCTGTGTTTCAGGCCTTCATATCCATGAAAGCAACTTAAACAACACAAAGGCTCTGATTTCTGTCAGATACAGTAACACAGATCATGTTCTGACCTGCATGTGCAGCGATATGGCGATCATCAGCCTGACATGTTTACCACCCGGCACTACTCTGTATGTTTACCTGTTGAGCTCATCACCCAACCGGAGATACGAGAGCCTGTCAGCGCCATCGTATCTCAGCGTCCAGCTCTGTGTGCTCACTATCAGGCTGAGCAAACAGCACAGAGCTGTGTTAGCCTCCGAGAACGCCTCTTTATGGTGCTTAGTCTGTGCTCACATGACTTGCTTGAGTCCATGTCCTATCACATCCACTGATTACAGGAGGATGGTCAGACGGCCCTCAATGCAGCAGCAGCCCTCTGGTGAGAGGAGAAAGCAGCTGTTCTCTACAGATGTGTCGACATGGTGGTAGAGGACTGGCTGTTGATGTGCCGTCCCACAAGCTTTCTAGTAGCTGCATCTCTCCCCACCGCTGACAGTTCTTTGACTGTCTGTCTGCCTAAGAGTCCATACCTATACCTATACCTATACCTATATCTATACCTATACCTATACCTATACCTATACCTATACCTATACCTATATCTATACCTATATCTATACCTATACCTATACCTATATCTGCACCTATAAGCTGTACTCTACCTGTTTGCGAAGGCTGTCGAGCTCGACCTCCAGAGCCTGCAGGAAACGCCGCCTCTCACTGAGCTCACTCTGGGCACAGCGTAAAGCCTCGTTGCTTTCTTTCACCTCCGACTGCACCGCCTCCAGCTGTGGACACACAGTGTACAGTAACACGTAGCTCTCTATGAGGCGTGTAACATAAACGACCAGTATTAGTGACAGAAGGATGAGCAGTGGTTCATGCAGACCTTCTTGAGGTACCAGGCCTCGGCCTCCTCCTTGTTCTTGCGAGCGATGCCCTCGTACTGGACCCTGAGCTCAGCCAATATGGCCCCCAGATCAGGACCCTGAGCTGCATCCACCTCCACGTTCACCTGCTCGTTGGCCAGGCGCAGCTTCATGGAGCTCATCTCCTGCAAGCACAGACATCAGAGGAAGAACAAGCGGTTGTTAACGGTACGACATCGTTCTGAAGCTGCAGAAGACGAGAAATGCTGGTTACGGTCGATCTGGTCTGATGAAAGCCACATCTCTGGGTCTGGTTAGGGTTAGCAGTAGTGTTGATGCAACGGCTCAAAGTTCTCGGGTCACAGAACGAACACACATGTTGACATTATCATAACCACGTAGATACCACAGATAGATGAATGCTGGCGTCTGAGAATTGTTGGGGGTTAGCTGGTGTTTGAGTTTGGTGAAGTCAGCTCCCACATCGAAAGCAGAAGCGCTGAACTGTTACTTCCTCAAACTCCTGCTGCCATCAGACGTTTCAGTCATGAATGGGGCTTTTTCTAACCTCCTAGCTAATTATGTGCTAAGTGTAGGTGTTGGCGGCAACGCGTTGTTACTGTGGGTAGTTAGGAAACATTTGTGGTTTACGTTCGTTTAATTGGTTCCTTTATGTGAAAGTGGTAAAACGTTGACAGGCACCAGTGAACAGCTGCATGAGAATAAGGCTGGTGTCACGCGAACACATCGTCTAGTCACTGTTTAACTGTTTGTAGGGCCGACGTGGGTGCGCTTCAGTTTAGACTCTGCCGTGTTCATCACATGTCCCTCATGACCACATTACCGAATGACGTTGGAGCTGAAGGTGTTTATTGGTGGCGTCCGTCAGGCTGTGACGCAGCTACCACAGAGCTGAGAACTTTACATGGCTGGTAAACTGTAAACAGGCCCCACCAGCTCCTCTCTATCACCAGTAACCGTCACCAGTAAGTAGGTGCTACTGAAGTGAAGGCAGCTCCTGATGTCAGACAGAACCTGTTCTGATCCACAGTCTGAGTCCAACAGCTGCTTGTTAAATGTCTGCACACTGAAAACATCATGACGCTGATGTTTAGTTTTACTGAGACGAAGAAGAATCAGCCTCATCCCAAAGTGCATTAAAATCATCATGCATGAGATAGGACCTGGAAATATACGTTCCATCCATCAGTTTAAACTCGACTGCATCATATCACACCTCTGGTTTTCCTTTCTTTAGACGTACCTGCATTACTTACTGTCTACTCTTTATATAATTTAAATGGATTCTAGTAAAATAAGATAAGATAAGATCAGCCTGTATTTATCTCGCAGTGGAGAAATTCACATTGTTGACAGCAGCTTTACACACAGAGATACACACATACTATAAATATACACATAAGTATAAGAAATAGTGCAACAAGTATAAACGTACACATAAAAGGAGAATAGTGCAAATGGAATATGAGAATGAGAGTAGTCTAATCTTATTCAGGATCAGAGACAGAAGTGTAGGTGTTCTATTCATATGATGACTGCTCTACATGTCTCCATATGTTCCTGATCAACTCGTTTCTGTCTGATCGCCTCAGCACAGAGGAGCGTCTACATCCTGGACACCACGCCTGACAGTCTAAACACACTCTGGATGGGCTGTTATCTTGCTGTCTTTGAGCGCTGTACTTACAAAGACAAAGGGTGTGTCTGTACACTCACATGATCATGTTTCAGACACTGAGCGCTGCTCAGCTTCACAGAGCTGCTTTATATCAGCTTGTTGTTCATCAGGTGCAGAGGTGCTGCCTTCATGCGGCTCAGAGAGCCCACTGTGCTTCTAAGACACCCTCATCTGAACACGACTACGCTTGACGTCTTCTGAAGTGAGTCCATTGATAAGCAGCAGCTGATGGATCGTGTCTTTTGTGACCTCCACCTCGGCGGGGTTCTCACCTCGTCGTGATTCTTCTTGAGGAAGTAGAGCTCCTCCTTCAGGCTGTCCAGGTCTCCTCTCAGAGTGGCGATGATCTGGTCGTGGTCCGACTTGGCCCTCCTCAGAGCCTGGCAGTCCCTCTCCACCGACTGGCACAGGGTGGCCTCCGCCTCCCATCTGCAGAGCAACACCAACGGAGGCTTCAGCAGGAGCAAAGAAACACAAGGCCTCTGGCGCTCACGTCATCATGACATGTGGAGCTATGGCAGAGGCGTCATTTAATCCAGAAGTCACACATCCTCAAAGTCTTCGTACATGTGGAGCAAACGTGTTGCATCTGCTGCACAGTTAACAGGATTTGTTACCGACTAGCAGGTTGTGACTCGTCCAAACAAAGATGGCTGTCTGTCTTAATGGTTTTAATCTTGTCCTGCTGGGATTAGAAATAAACCTCGTAGACACGTCATATGTGCAGAGGACCAAGTGTTCTTAAATCCATGTGCACAGACATGTTTTAACCAGGACGAGTTTGGCTGGTTGAAAAAAGATGTCCAGGACTTAAACTCATGACAACTGCTGTTGGGAAAAGTACTTAGATTACTTCCTTAAATAAAAGTTTAATTGCGACATAATTTAACTGCTTCCTTGTGAGTTTACATAAAATAACAGTAATTAATAATAATAACAGTTACTGAGGTGCTGAAGAAAAAGGTTTTACTTAAACACTGACGCAGTAGCAGGAAGGATGCCTTTAATGCTGCAGCTGGTCACGCTGAGGCTCCTACAAACTGAATTTACTCTTCTGTAGAATAATTTAGGACATTTTGGCTGTAAAATGTTATTTTGAGTACCTGGCGTCCCCAGGTGGATTCAGAGGACTGGACACGTCCCTGACATGTTGGAGAACGCAGCATAAACTAAATACTGAAGAACAGCACCTGAAAGCTGCAGCTGGATAGATTCCTGGATGTCCTTTGTTAATTAGACGTTAGAGGCACAAACTGGGGCTAGAAAGCGTTCAGGAAATCCCAGCATGACGTGAAAAATAACGAGCAAACTCATTCAGAGACGTGCATGTCAGCGCCACATGCACTTTGCTGTGAACACCATGAATCACTGTCAGCTGATTATCACTCATCACATCAGCCGCAGAACATACCATCAGCACACTGCGAAGAACACCGGCCCTGCCTCGGCCAGCTTTCCCTTCAGCCTCCCTTTGCCAACCGCAAACTCTGCGGAAACGGACAGCGTGTTTCTGACCTGCACAATCCATCACGTCCTGCGCTCGCTGATGGCTCGGCTGCTCGGTGCCTGAGCACCGTGGGAATGGAGCTCTTGTTTCGCAGCCTGACAGAAAGGTCATTTATTCACATCGCCTTGCAGTCTGGCGCTCCCATGTGAACACTCGCAGGCAAGTAAAAGAAAGAAAGGTCTGTGTGACACTCACTTGACCCTGAAGTCATCGGCTGCCAGCTTGGCGTTATCAATCTCCAGCATGATGCGGGCGTTCTCCAGCGTCTTCTTCCTCACCTGAGCGGGGAAACAAGGGGTTTAAAGTTAGTTAAAATAGCACAGCGGGTGTTTTTATGAGCTCCCTAACTTTTCTTTATCTCCTGTCAGAAAGCCCAAATGTCAGTTTGCTGCCGACTAGAAGGACAATCCAGAACTGCACTATCACCGTCACCGTAGCGGATGCACATCCCAACGTGATATCAGATCAGATTAGATAGAACTTTATTGATCACTTTGGTGGGGTACCTCAGGAAGAGACTAGAAGCAGCACGACACCGACAGCAGCACACATCAGTTCAGAAACACATCAGGTGCACGAGTAAAAAGTCAAACGGAGTCAAAAACACACAGCACCAGAACACTGAATAGATGCTCCTAAAATGATGATTTATGAAGTGAAGCTCTGATGTTTTATGTGTTCATGGAGTAACGCCTGACGTGTCAACACACACTTCAGAGATCAGTAGATTTCCTATGAGACCCTGCAGCAGCGTGTTGGTGAAGCTCCTCCACCCAGGAGCTCCCTGCTCTGGACCAGGACAGAAGAATGTGGCCACATGTGTCACGTTCACTAAAGAGGTAGTGTTACCATGAATGGACAGGAAGTGTGTTTGTCGTGCTCTAGTCCTGCTGCCCAACATTCAGTGAAGATGCTGAGACGTTTCCAGGTTATGAGGCTGTTATTTACTGTAATCTGTATTTTTGACGAGGCAGAAATAAAAATGTCCCGTTTTGCTGGAGCTGTGTTCCTGAAGATGAGGAGAACGGAGACTCAGAAAGGGTCTCTTCATGAATAGAACCTAAACAGTTGATTTTGGCGGGTCACTGGACTAAATCTGTGGATGCTTTGCAGGTGCACATTTTAAAAACCCGTCTCAGAGACAAAGGACCAACATGTACCCCTGGACACTGACCTCCTGCCCGATGGCGTGGGCCTGTGCCATCATGGCCTCGATGTCGTGTCCTTTGGGCGCTTTCTCCAGCATGAGCTGCTTGATCTGAACCTCCAGCTCAGCGTTGGACCTCTCCAGCGAGCGGACCTTGTCCAGGTAGTTGGCCAGCCGGTCGTTCAGGCCCTGCATGGTCTCCTTCTCGCTGGTGCCGAGGCCCAGGCCGTTGTAGGACAGGCTGGTGCCGAGCATGTTGAGGCCGTTGCCCACAGAGAAGGAGCGGGACAGAGACAGCGTGGCGCCGGTGGACAGCTGAGAGACGGAGGGTTTGGGTCGGAGGCTGCGTCCGCCGTCCCTCACAGACATGCTGGAGAAGGAGGGCTGACGCACAGAGTAGCTGCGCATGGAGAGGGTGGAGGCCATGGTGTCCGCTGCAGGAGATCAGACCAGGGTTAGTTCTGTCAGGGCTCTGGTGGAGCTGTAAGTCTGCTGAGCGACACCGACTGTGTCCAAGAGAAAGACCAAATAAGAGACGTATGAGCAGCCAGGAGACAGCTCACCAGCCTCTCTGCAGATGCTTTATCTGCGCTGGCTGTTCGGTTTCCTCTCTTTAAGCTATTTCCTTGTGGCTGATTTGCATCTCTAGTTTTGTGCTTGTCTTTGTGTGGTTGTTCTGTGTCTCTGTGAGCCTCCTCTGTGTCTAACCTGCTAAATGTCAGCTGGACAGAGAGCAGTAGAATATAAACGCTCAGTCCTGAACAGGACGTCTCAGAGTTCTGGAGGATAAGATGCAGTACCATGTCATATGTTTGGATAAAGACAAGATAGAATTCTATAAATACTGAAGGAAATGATGGAAGTCTTTAAAAAGAACTCTCTAGTAGATCTTGTAGAGTTCATCCCTCACTGTGTGCTTTCAGTCTGCCTCCCTCATCCTGTGGTGATGCAAGAATAAAGCAGAGAGACGTACTCACAGTTCTTCAGTAGGTCTTCCCTGGTGCTGCTCGCTCAGCTTTCTGCCCCCGATGCTGCGACTGACTGCTGTTGCTGGACCAGATTTCACAGGTGAGCAGAGGCTCGACTGTCGTTGTAGGGGAGGAGCCACGGATGTGACCAATCAGAGGACGCAACATGACACCTCGTACAGGAGTGAGACTCAGCAGTCAGGTGCTCATGAGTGAAACCAAACCAACATGTCACTTCATTCACATCCTAATTCAAAGAAGAACATTCAGATTCTTTTCAGGTATGTTGTCAGCAGGTGTTCTGCTGCTCTAAGAACAGTTACCTGTGTTGGTGTAAGTTTGACCAAATACATCTGATGGAGATGCGGTGGTAACAATCAAGTCACTCCGAGTATTTGAGCTGCTGAAATGAGATCAAATGTGAAAAAAACCCAATTCCCTGTTCTTCTACCATGAACCTGCTGCAGTGTGTCATCCCACTGTCAGGCTGTGTTGGGCCTCAGACCTCCGAGCCATGACAACAGCCTCCTCAGGTTTTGGTCTGACCTGGTTGGTGAGACCGGTGTGGCTGGAACCAGGAGCTGGCTGTCTCCACAGTGATCGTATTGAGGCTGGACACAATGCCATGTGCCTCCTCGGAGCCGCGTGAGGAGCTGGTTTCACCTGAGGACGGGAGGAAGCGGGAACAATGGAGCGACAGAATGAATGGAAAGGGAAGACCCCTGAGAAATGCACAGAGATGCAGGGCGTGGGTCGGGCTGAACTGGAAACCGGGCTGGTGTTTAATAGAGTCCCTCCCAGCCCGGTGCTGCTGTCAGACAGCGTGTGATCCCATCGCCTGGATTCCTCTGAGCATTATCCTCCTGGAAGATCAGATCTCAGCGACACTGACCCGGTTTACTGCCTCACATGCTGCCGCCCCACCCAGCACGGCCCGGTATGAGCTGATCACACTCGTCAACTGTTCACTATGAGACTTTCTTTTGTGCTGTTTGTAATCTGATTGTAAAAGTTCTGCCCTACTGGGTCCAGACACAGTAACATGAACACCAGCCAGAACTCCCACAAGGAAGATGAATCAGAGTCAGGAACAATCAGGACGTCTCTGTCTTCCTCAAGCGTCCATCAGGTGCAGGACGAGTGTGTTTGCATCGCTGGGCTCAGATATGATCAGAATAATACAGCTGCTGAGTAACATACTGCAGAAAACCTGCACACGGAGGACACGGTTCAGGGACTTATGCAGATTTTTTTAAATATATATATCTATCTGCTTGGGGTTCTTGGTTCCATCAGATGAAAGCAACAAAAAAAAAACAATTTAAGGCACAAATTCCTCGTAACAGTCAAGATTCAAGATGAACTTTATTGTCCCAGACGTGGACAATCTGTCTACAAGCAGACGCAGAATACAGTTAGTAGACAGAATAAATAACACATCAAGTAAAAGGACTATCACAGACTGAAGGCTGGAACAAATGAAGCTCTAAACCTGTTCAGTCAGTGTGGCTATACTGCCACCATGTGGGCAGAAGCGCACACTACATCACAGAAGGTCTGATCATAGGAACTCACTGTGGGTCAGTATGAGCTAAAGGTCAGACTTTCAGACTGTGACCCAGCAGCTCATGAGGACTTTCAACGGCATCTGTTACTCTGATATATATCTGATGTTGTTGAAATGATCCACAGTGTGTGTTTGTGTAATTAACCCCACAGACCACAGCGGTGACTGATAGCAGAGCAACGTGGTGCTAACGAGCTGCTTCTGAAGGTGTAATTAAAGCAGCATCACAGCCCACAGACGCATCCTTCCTGTTTAATGTGACTGCATGCAGTGGTTTTCCTCAGGACGCTGATGTCGCTGTGATCTGGGACGAGGACGAGCCAACAGATCAATAAACAGCAGCAGCAGCTCGTATGAGGGACAAACACACCTGTGGCAGGTGCACAACTATGAACACTTTAAAACACGGAGCGTAGCTATGAACACACCTTTACAGTAAGAATAAGATAAACAGGCTGACATACACTGTGTGGCCTTTTTATATTTAAACTATGCAAATCAGCGAGGCGCTTCAAAGCATTTCACCAAAGATGTCTGTGTTGTTCTCTGATGGTGCAACCTGTAGATACCTCTGAAATACCCCCACAGTGGCCCCTTATCACCCCCTCGTCTCTTACAGTCTAGTCCAGTGGTTCTCAAACTGGGGGTCAAGACCCCCATGGGGGTCCCAAGATGGTTTCAGTGGGTCACAGATCACTGTAAAAAAAAAAATAATAATAAAAATAAAGCCTTTATTTATCAGATAAATGTGTATCAGGGCTGTCAGAACAGAAGTGTTTACTTGATCGGAAGGTCGGCGGTTCGATTCCGTCCTGTAACCTGTTTCATGGTCGTTGTGTCCTTGGGTAAGACACTTCCCCACCTGCCTGGTGTGGATGTGTATGAATGGATTGTTTGAGGTGGTGGTCGGAGGGGCAGAATGGCAGTCACGCCTCTGCCAGTCTGCCCCGGGGCAGCTGTGGCTACAACCGTAGCTACCACCACCACAATGAATGTGTGTGAATGAATAACTGACAGTGTCCAGAGTGTCCAGAAAAGCGCTGAATAAATCTGATCAATTATTATTATTATTATTATTATTCCCACTCCTTTTTAATATTATGATTTGATTATGTGATATCATTATTATTATTCTTTTTTGCTCTTTTAAAAATTATTTTCTTTTGTTTTTTTATTTTTTTCTCTTTCATTTGTTTGAAATAAATTAATTAATTCATTCATTCATTCATTCAAAAGAGAATTAAGGTGTTAATGTAAAGAGATCAATCTGTGGAATTAACGCCTGAACAGCAGAGTTATTACTAATGATGTATTAAATATTCTAACTGGGGCGTCATGAACACACACTGATGCTATTTTGGGCGTCGTGCTCAGAGAGTTTGAGAAGCGCTGGTCCGGCCTGTTCAATACCACAATCAGTGTTTTATTGTTACCAGAATAACATTCAGACCAGAAACACACTGAATTATAAAGACGTATACGTACGCTCACATTCCTCACATGAAAACCACTGAATCCATCCGTCTGCTGATGAGTTTGTTCATGTGACCCCTGATTAGAGTTCAACGGTGAACGGCAGGTACTATCAGCTCTGCACTCGTTTATCTCTGAACTATTCCACACAAGATGTGACAGTTTTGTTCACGTAAATCTCATGTCAAGAGAAAAGCAGCAAACATCATGTCTCTTATTGTTAAAAATGAAATCTTGTTTCCAGGAGTTTATACGTGATCTTGATGGGAAGGTACAGAGAGCAACGCAGAGCGCCGTGCAGCCCAGATATTTAGCTACAAGAAGCTGAACTGGACGCCAGTTATAGGCTCCTAATTATAAGGAACCTCTCTGAGTCCAAACCATGATCGTGACAGATGATTAAAATCTGCCTGTAATGCTTCACAGCACATTCACCGACCCACTGGCTAAACTTCTAGAAAATGTTCTTACTGTTTGTGTGCAATGGTGAGCAGGCTGCATCAGGACCAGCCGTCAGCAGCTAATGCCCCCAATAGCCCCAATAGCCCCACAGGGGTCAGACCATTGGTTTTATATCTGTAGCAGAGCTGGATGCACCACGATGGCGTCCTCTTCTTTACTGGTTCACCAAGACAGGACGCTGATATGAACGGCCGCTCTGTCACGGAAACTTGTCGTCTCGTGGTTGGTTTTCCATCCGGACAGGACGACTGAACGTCTCTGAGTGTGTCTTTGGAAATATGAGAACATTTAGAAGGTTTCCTCTTCTGAGAAAGTGACCTTCAGGAAGTCCCAGCAGCGTCCTCAGTCTTCAGGTGTGCCGCTGTGCCCC